ATTATTATTTAAAATTAATCTCCAAAAATTCCCCTTATTTTTCTAGGTGGTAAACCTGCGTGAGGTATTCCCGTACGGCTCTGGTTTTGTTCTAGTATTTGAGTTCATGTTGTCAGACTTGTCTGAGGTGATCAGGAATACCAACACCCCATTGACAGAGGCTCACATCAAAAGCTACATGCTGATGCTGCTGAAGGGTGTGGCTTTCTGCCATAACAATAATATCATGCACAGGGTACGGAGGTGATAAGATAGTTAACCTCAAAACATGATATGCATAGAGGTTGAATTCATTCTTTAGCAAAGACATTTTTCTGTTTGATATATTTTATTTAATTTCAAGCATGAATTATTGTTATGACTCAGTTGTGAAAATTATCAATCCTTCAAATGCACAATTTTTGCGCCATTAAGAATATAAACTGTAAGGTGGGCTTTTTTCCAATTTTGTTGATGCTACTTAATAGTTATGTTCTTGTTCTAATAATCTACAATTGAAAAAAGATCTGTAAAATTCACAATTTTCCTTATTTATAAGATTGCATCTTTACTGCATTGCATCTGCATCAAATCCAAAAATTTATTTTTTTTAATTATTTCTTTCTTCAATTTAAGGACTTAAAGCCAGCCAATCTTCTCATCAGTTCTACGGGTCACTTGAAGATAGCAGACTTTGGTCTGGCCAGAGTGTTTCAGAACGAAGGCAACCGACAATACAGCCACCAGGTGGCTACCAGGTACGCGCCATCTTGTCTAGATTTCTTAAAAACCAAAAATATCTGACACTTGCTGTCTGTGCAGCTTGTTGATAAAAAATTGAGGATTTTATTTTTTATCCATTTATGATATTTCTTCAATAAGAACAATTTTAGATTGAAGTAAATGTCTTCAGTATTATTTGTACTCACAGAATAATGTGGTATGTTAAAGCTTGTTGAGAAAAATGCATGAGAGAATAAAGAGTTATTCTCAGTTTGCTAAACACGTGTGAAATATACTATTTAAATTAAATTAATGACTGTTGTGTTTTTATTTAGATGGTACCGTGCCCCAGAGTTACTGTATGGTGCCAGGAAATATGATGAAGGTGTAGATTTATGGTAAGTTTGCTGTCTTCTGTTTACAGCATACTCCTTCATCATTACAGCTCACTGCTGAGGATGTTCTCATTGTGTTTAGCACAACTAACACATTTTAGGCCACTGTCTCAAAAAATTTTTCATTGTTTTTTACTCAGTTAATGCTACAGTCTTCAAATTATGTTTGCTTTATTGTGAAATTTTTCATTTCATCTATTTCTCTGTTATGTTATGGAATTCTGTTGAAATTTGGTTTCTAGAAATGGTCATTTTGTTGTTGTGCTTGCATTTATTTTAATTGATACTTTGAAGTAGGAAGAATTTTTTAATTTAATATTAGAGAATGCCCTTTATACCTTTTATACTTTTTTATTTAAAAGTGGGTTAGAAATTAACATTTAAGTATGAGGATAACTGTTTAAAAGGAGATCTTTCATTGCCTATTAGACACTTAAAACTCCTGCTAGGGAAAAATGTTTTTAATAGTGATTTATCAAATAATTTTAGTTGACTTTGGATTTCTGTGTTTATATGATGTAGGGTTAGGTAAGGACCTGTAAAATTGTGCAGAAGTGAGATTTATTTTGCTCAGTGTGACATTTACATAGTTTTCCATATTTATCTGTGCAATAGTACAGCTAATTAGGTTTCATTTCCTTAGACCTTGATTCAGTGCAATAGATAAAAATATACTAAAATATAATGTTTAAGTATGTGAGATTATAGAGAGCAATTACGGCAAGGGGAGGAGGAGGGGAGAGGGAAATTCCAGTATTGGCTTTCAGAAATTAGGACCAAGACATTACATGGTGGAAGTTTTCAAACCTCTGTGTAACTGGCAGTGTTGTATAACATGGGCACACAGGACCCAATATCTGATTCATGTTCACAGGATCTTGTCTGATGTGCTGGTATTTCAAATATTCTTTTTGTCTTTTACTCTTTGCATCATCTTAAAGGATTAATATATTTTGGATTTCATCAAATATTTATCACGAAAGTGTACAACTTTTTTATCTTGCTGTGAGATAGTTGATCAAACACAAATCATAATAAAAAATGATGTACTAGTTCCAGAGTTATTTTGGTATCATTTTTGCTAAATATACTGAAACTTTGACCTCAATTTTAAGGTTGAAGGGACATATGACTGTGTAAACTCTTTGTTTGAAGTTAACAGAAATATGTGTTTATTCAGCAAATACTTTGCAGTGGCACTGTGAATTTGAACTTCCGCTGAAAAAAAGTGGCTTAAAGATAACTATAACTTGACATTTAACAAAGCTGCAAAACACTTTTTTGACAAAGTGTAGAGAAATTCATATCAATATTGTCTATCTATTAAATTATAAAAACAAGAGAAAGAACTTAGTATCATTTATTGCACTGATGCCTTGTCATTTAGTCACTAGGACTACTTCTAAACAGCTGTACAATTCCCCTTTTACTTCTCACCATGTTTTGTCTAACCAAGTGCTGGAATGTGTGTGAATTAAATCAAATATGTTCTGAAATTGGTCCAGATCAAAATGAGTGAAATTATGTTTAAAAAAATTCTTGCAGTGCATGAATAAGAATATCAGAATGGATAATTTATAAAGACTAAAAAAAAAATTGTTGTATATTTTGATAATTTTCAAAGAAGTTTGCAAATAAGCAGCACCCTAATTGGTTTGTTTACCCATTTTTATAATAAAAATAATGAAATAATGTTTTTATCAACATAAAATGATACATTTAAAGCAGAACTGCAAAGAAAAACAAACAAACAAACAAAAAAAATATAAATATATATATATAAAATCATGTTGCATTGTTGATTGATATTTATCCTCAAATTTTTCACCACAAAAGTATAATTAGCTTAAGGTTTCTAGCAGATATAAGAAACCAGTTTAATAGTATCATCAGCACTTCACTGATAGATGTCAGCAGCTGTTAGTATCATCAGCACTTCACTGACAGATGTCAGCAGCTGTTAGTAGCTATTCTTTTAGCCATGTCCTGAATCTGTTTAATAACCACAGCAGTTGGTATCTCTGTGAAATGATTTCGATGTTCCAGAGTTACATCACTGTTTTTCCAGAATGCATAATGGATGCCTCTCCAATTACTCAGAGATCTAAAATGTCCCATCACATTTGAATATTGTGGAAATATTTCAATGAGGCCTCCATGTTTTGGCAGGAACAGCGTGTGGGTTAACCCTGCGCCGTGCATTCCTACGAGTATGTCTGTCTTAGCTACGAGTTCAAGCTGGTCTTTCAGTTTTAACTGGTCCATCTGTATTCCCTGGACATTGAAGGCTGGGAACTCTGACTTCACTGCAGAAATGATCTCATCTTCATTATAAATTTTACGCAGGATGGACCCTGACGGGTTGCGTGGGTGAGCTACGTAGTCATGACGCCATATGAACAGAACGTCAAGTTTGTCACAGTTGAGATTTTTGCTTGTAGACACGTGATATCTCTGAAGAAAAAACTCTCTGAACTCATCAATAAGTGGGATTGTTTTGCGTACATGTTGATTCATCATGCTGTTATAACCCATAGGATTCCAGACCATTTCTCTGTAGGTCACCAATCTGTCCGTCTCACTCAGCCGTTTAGAATTACCAAACAATGTCACCCAAACCTCATCCAGGTTACCTTGAGGATGAGCATCAATTAGTAACACACTGATCTCATCAGGTTGTTTTCTAAAGAATTTCATCATTAGGAATGCATTGTAGAAGTCTGTCATTGAATGGTACCAGTTAACATATTCGTACCTCGTCACAGCTATGGTGAAATTCTTATTGACTGTTGTCAGCTGTGGATTGGGATGATTTTTTTTGATTGACACTGATTCTATCCAATCCTTGAGGTGACCCTTTCCGTGGTATTTAGTAAACACATACTTGGGTGTTTTTTGGCAGTTCCTGACATGATAAAATCCAAACTTGTACTTGTAAAACTCTACAGCCTCCTTCTGATTTAACACTTCTGTGATACTTTCTCCTCCTTTTTGTCCAATAGCTTTCTGTCGATTGAGAGTGATGTTCTGACATAAGGCAAAGTTTCTGTCAAAGGCAATGAAGTTCACTCCACATAGAGGCGTCATAGATTTGTACCATTTTTGGAATTCTTGAGGACATATGTTCGGATTCTCCTTACACTTCAGCCATGCCTGGCCTTTACTTGAACTTTCAATCTCACCTTGTCTATTTCCGGCTCCTTGCTCTAAGTCAGGATCATCATAATCATAATAGTTTGGGCCAATAATTCTATGTTTGCGTGCCATCTTTCCATTGTTATATACAATTGACTGTGCATTTACCCTGTTTTCTATGTGTCTGTCTTGATTCTCAACAGATAAACCTTCTACAAGAACCAGATTGTTAATTTTTGTGAAAAAACTAGGAGCCTTGTTGGCCCTTCCTGCGCTGAATACATTTGTCTTGATATCCTTATCGTCTTGCATGTTTGGTTTCCAAGTTTGGTGCTGTGATATTCCCGTTTTGTGGGTTGGCAAATGGCTCTTCCTTTGGGCACTCCAAGAATCATGACTTATGTTAGAGATTACAAACAAGTTAAAAAGCAGCATAAGTCCAACCATTAGCACTGGAATTGGGGAACAGCTTTGCAATATGGCCACTTTGTACCGTCTGAATATTTGGTGGATTTTGGTGCTAAGAGATGATTCTTTGGTACTCATGGTGATAGTGATACAGTGGGTGTATCTGGGTACACAAAATAGCACTACAGTGTATATAAGCGGGTGGGTGTGGTTGTCTGATATAGTACTACAGTGTATATAAGTGGGTGGGTGT